CTCCCTCCCTTCCTCCCTCCCTCCCTTCCTCCCTCCCTCCCTTCCTCCCTCCCTTCCTTCCTTCCTTCTTTTCTTTTCTTTTCTCCACTCCCTCTCCTTTCTACCTCCCTCTCCCTCCCTCCCTCTCTCTCCCCTCCCTCCTTCTCTCTCCCTCTCCCTCCCCCATCCCTCCCCTTTTCCCTCCTTCCCCTTTTCCTTCCCTCCCCTTTTCCCTCCCTCTCCTTCCCTCCCCCTTTCCCTCCCTCTCCTTCCCTCCCTCTCTCCCTCCCTCCCTGTCCCTTTCACTCTCTCCCTCTCTCCCTCCCTCTCTCTCTCTTCTCACCCCTCTCTCTTTTGTGCCAGGCCTGGGTATTGAACTCTGGGCCTGGACGCTGCCTCTCAGCTCTTCAGCTCAAGGCGAGCGCTCTACCACTTGAGCCACAGCGCCACTTCCGGTTTTCTGGTGGTTCATGGGAGATCAGAGTCTCACTGACTTTCCTGCCCAGGCTGGCTTTGAACCGTGATCTCAGATCTCAGCCTCCTGAGTAGCTAGGATGACAGGCGTGAGCCACGGGCCTCTGGCTCTGGTTTTCATTTCTGCTAAACTGTAAACAACTAACTAGTTGTTCAAAGGAGTTACGCCACTGGAATCCTCCCCTGTTTTTTATTAATATGTGTACACAGATGTTGACGACCCTGTATGCGGTTACACCATATTTATAATTTAGAGCTAACTTCCATACACAAGAACACATGTTTCTTTTGTCTCTCTGAGTCTGACTTCACTTACCAGAATCTTTTTCCGGGTGCATCCATTTTCTTGCAAATAACATAATCATATTCTTCCTGATGGGTGAGTATAATTCCATTTGGGGTGTGTGTGTGTGTGTGTGTGTGTGTGTGTGTGTGTGTGTGTTTATGGTAGAGGTAGAAATCAGATTTTCTTCATCCAATTATCCCCGAAGGGCCCCTCAACTGCTTCCTTCACTTAGTAAATGGTAGCATTGTATTTTATAAAAAGTAACGGGAGCCGGGCACTGTGGCTCCCGCCTGTCATCCTAGCTACTCAGGAGGCTGAGATCTGAGGATCACAGTTCAAAGCCAGTCCAATAAACTATTCAAAAAAGCCATGGCTCCAATGGTAGAGCACTAGCCTGGAGCAAAAAGAGGCTCAGGGACAGTGCCCAGGCCCTGAGTTCAAGCCCCAGGACCAACAATAAATCAATAAATAGTGATTGGGAGCCAAGTAGCAGTGGCTCCTGCCTGTCATCCTAGCTACTCAGGAGGCTGAGATCTGAGGATCGTGGTTCAAAGCCAGCTTGGGCAAGAAAGCTCATGAGACTCGTATCTCCAATAAACCACTCAGAAAACCCGAAGTGGCTATGTGGTTCAAATGATAGAGCACTGGCCTTGAGCTGAAGAGCTGAGGGACAGCATCCAGGCCCAGAGTTCAAGCTCCACAACTGACCAAAAAAAAAAAAAAAAGATAGGCACCAGTGGCTCACGCCTGTCATCCCAGCAACTCAGGAGGCTGAGATCTGAGAATCATGGTTCAAAGCCAGCCTGGGCAGGAAAAGTCCATGCGACTCTTATCTCCAATAAACCACCAGAAAACCAAAAGTGGCACTATGGCTCAAGTGGTAGAGCGCTCGCCTTGAGCTGAAGAGCTGAGGGACAGCATCCAGGCCCAGAGTTCAAGACCCACGATGGATCCCCCCCCCAAATAGCCAGAAGTGGAGCTGGAGGTCAAGTTGTAGAGTGCTAGCCTTGAGTGAAAAAGCTCAAGGCCATCATCCAGGCCCTGAGTTCAAGTCCCAGGACTGGCACAAAAAAACAAAGAAAGGAAGAAAGAAAGAGAGAGAGAGAGAGAGAGAGAGAGGGAGGGAGGGAGGAAGGAAGGAAGGAAGGAAGGAAGAGAAGTTGGGAAAAATAAAACAACGATAACAACCAAGCATAGTTTTTAGAAGGGAGAATTCGCTGAGACAATATGATCTGTGATTAGGAGAAAAAAGAAACTCATATTAAGTGTGTGTTTCCCACACAGTGGGCATTCTGCCAGCCTCCTCCCTCAGACTTTCCCTTGCATTTGCACAAAGGGTGGTTTCTAATAGATAGGCCCGTGGGAGGTACAAATGACAGAAGAGCACGGTGCAAGTGCCCAGCCCTGCTGGAGCACCTGCTCTCGCTCACACAACCACACTGTGATCACAGAGGCCGGCTGACATCACCTGGAAGTGAACTCACAGCGATCTGATACCCAGCACCCAGCATTCTCTATCATCCTGGCCAAATCAGAAAGGGCAAAGTCCTGGTGTGCACTCATGTGTGTGTGTGTGTGTGTGTGTGTGTGTGTGTGTGCGCGCGCATGCATATGCATGCCAGTATTAAGGCTTGAACTCAGGGCCTGGGCACTGTCCCTAAACTTCTTTTGCTCAGGGCTAGTACTCTACCACTTGAGCCACAGCACCACTTCCGGCTTTTTCTATGTATGTGGTACTGAGGAATTGAACCCAGGGCTTCATGCTTGGAAGGCAAGCATTCTACCACTGAGCCACCTTCCCAGCCCCAACACAAGTCTTTGATCTCCACCTGTAAAGTGCAATGCTCAGCACACATTCTTCATTACTTTCTCTCTTCCTCCCTCTCTCCTTTCTCCTCTCTTCCTTTCACCTCAGGAGTTAAACCCTACTCTTGCAATACAATATTTTCCACTGTTTTATATCTAGTCTCTGGAAGGAAGTCTCAGAGAGAAAAGTCAAAAGAACATGAAGCGATTTCCTCCGCTATGAAATCTCACATGATACTTGATGTGAAAATAATTATTTTCTATACACACATTTTAAAAGACCAACAGTGCTGCTGAGAACCTTTTTCCATTTGATCTCAGCACTTAGGATTTGGTTTTGTTGTCTTTTCCAATGAGAGAAATGACAAAGGCACTTGACCAGGTTGCTTTGTAAAGCTCGTGAGCTTGTGGGTTGAAGAATGGTGTTCAAAATGGAATGGTTGGATAGGAATAGAAGCTTTTGAGAAATCCATCCTGAGACCCTCCGAGAGGGCTCACCCGGAGGCTAGGAGCTCTATATTTAAATTTCAAATAATACAAGTCAGAAATCTATGGGAAGGGGGGAATAGGAGCAATTCTCTTTCTTCTTAAAAAGGGAAGGGGACATTACCTACTTTTGATTTTAAATGGCAGGAAGACCAATCAGGCACTTGGCTCTGGCTGTGGAGAAACAGATGAAGAAGAAAATTCTCTAAATAAAAGAGGAGAGCTGGGATCAGTGCGAGCAGAGGGACTTACAAAGAGTCCTTCCAATTACGGTCTAGGATTCCACACAGCAAGACAGAATTTGATCCGAACAAAGCCCCTTTTAAAGAAAAATTTTAACTTTGTTCTTTCAGTCCTGGGGCTTGACCTCAGGCCTTGGGTTCTGCTCTTGAGCTGCAGCTCAATAGTTCCGGCGTTTTGGTGGTTCCTTGGAGATCAGAGTCTCATAGACTTTCCTGCCCAGGCTGGCTTTGAACCATGATCCTCAGCTCTCGGCCTCCTGAGTAGCTGGGATGACAGGTGAGAGCCACTGGCACCCAGCAAGTTTTTAAATTTTTTCTAAAAACTTCAATCCTTAAAAAGCAGTCAAGCCAGGGTTGAGGGGCTCTCATTTGTATGGCTAAGAGGGTGACACAGGGGAGACTCCAGGACTAGGGGAGATGATAGAGCTCAGAGGTGACACAGGGGAGACTCCAGGACTGGGGAGATGATAGAGCTCAGAGGTGGCACAGAGAGGACTCCAGGACTGGGGAGATGATAGAGCTTGGAGGTGGCACAGTGGAGACTCCAGGACTGGGGAGATGATAGAGCTTGGAGGTGGCACAGTGGAG